CCCGCAGGACCATGGCGCAGTTCCTGTTCGAGGCGGACCTGCAGGGGCTGCTCAAGCTGGACACGCCGATCCCGAACGCGCCGCCGGCGCGGTGGCAGCGCAAGGCCAAGGAGAGCGGCCCCGGGCCCAGCCCCCTCGGCGTGTCGCCCATGAAGCCGGCCAATCGCTCCCACAGCTCCAGCAAGACGCCGTCCAAAACACCCGGTGAGTGGCGGCAGAGGCAAGGTGGGCGACTCCGGGATGCTTGCCTGTAGCCACGAGGCTGTGGGCTGTGCCAGGTACCCTCGGCGGCCGGCGGGTCAGCAGGGGCCCGGCTGCTGGCAGTCACTCACCTCCTCCCCAGCTGAGCTCCAGGGCTGGGTGAACTGATCCCTCCGCTGAGCCTTGCTGGCACAGCTGTATGTTGGGACAAGGGTGGGCAGGACTGTCTGCCGACAGCTTTCCGTGGTGTACCTGTTTTTGTATCCTCCCCTTATATGTGATCTCTGGAACTGTTGCACTAGACCCAAGTTGTCTCCTGGCAGTCCCTAACCAGAGCTTGGGAGCAGGGGGGGAAATATCAGTTAGTTGTGGCTGGATGGCACGAGGTCTGAGAGTCCTGCTGGTCTAGAACTTGAATGGTGGGTGTGATGTGGAAGAGTGCTGGGTTTGCTCTTGTGAAAAGTCTAATACAGGCTGTTAAATAGTTGTAAGACAATATTTATGTATGTAAATACAGGGAAATCTGGATCCAAAATTCAGAGCACACCAACAAGGGCTGGGGGGGATCGCTACATTCCCAACCGCAGCACTATGCAGATGGATATGGCAAGTTTCCTCCTAACCAAAGAGAATGACCCTGCTGAAGAATCTCCTACCAAGAAGGTGAGCATGTTGCTAAGGCACAATTACTTCAACAAGCACTTCCAAACACTTAATCCTTCCTGCCCATTTACAGAAAAGTATACTGTAGTTTCTATGCAGTGGGCACGTGTGGCTGACAAGACCCAGCCATGACTACTTCCAGCTCTAGGCTTCAGGAGCCTGGCATGCGATGGAAGCTGTAGAGCCTGTCACTTACTCTATGCTGCCTCTGGTAGCAAAATTGGCTAACAAGGCTTTAAAATATAGCAGGCTACAAAAACACAAAGCTGTGGGCCTATGCACAGTAAAACTGCTGGTGGTAGCTATTCTAGGACAATGTCTACATGGGGAGCAATTCTGGAATGTTTTACACTGTGTTTCTGAAATCTGTTTATGAAGCATTTGGTCCCTTGTGGCTGTGGCTTTTCCCACTGGCAGTGACACTGAATTTGCCACTGTATGAAAATGTGAGCAGGACAATGTGCCAACATCTGAGGGAAAACTACTTTGACCTGCCTGTGGCTGACTCTTGCAGCACTGTTTGTACACCTCCTGATTCTGGGAGAAGGGGGCTTAGGTGTATGTTTTAACTGCAGCATTAAACTTTGTGTTTCAAACACATTGCACTGAGAGTGGTTTGTCCCTGTAGGAGCAACAGAAAGCCTGGGCAGTGAATCTGAATGGCTTTGATGTAGAAGAGGCAAAGATCCTCCGCCTCAGTGGAAAGCCACAGTACGCTCCAGAAGGTATGACACAGAGTCCATGAGTCGAATCAGCTGGGGAGATCTGGTCAGGGGTCCTGTGTGGTCACAGGAGAGATCATCTGGCTTCTGAGAGCTCCTATGCACACTAGAGTTTCCCTTCTTAGGGTTTCTGAGGTTGAGGGATAGCATAGCAGTTACAGTGAATTTATTTAGGAAAGCTGAAATGACTGCCAGCTGCTCACGTGGACTGGAGGCGACAAACCTTCCTGAGGTCTGCAAGAGCTTCAAACTCTCTGCTGTGCACTTTCTAGCCGAACTGTAACTAAACATAGTGGGATACAAAAAAACAAGTGTTTCTGTGACTGAAGAAAGTGTAGCTCACCCTGGTTCAGCAGTTCATACTGCCAGAGGTGCTTAGCACACTGCACTCTCTTGAGTGTCTCTCTTCTCTCAGGACTTCATTTTCACTGGAAGGGATTCCTAGTTGGATGAGCAGCACTAGGTTGGAAGGAAACAGTAACTCAGGTCAACAAATCTGTTCCTCCGCACACAGGCTATCAGAATAACCTGAAAGTGCTCTACAGTCAGAAAATGACGCCTGGATCCAGCAGGAAGAACAGCAGATACGTTCCCTCAATGCCAGACCGGATCCTGGATGCACCGGAGATCCGCAATGATTACTGTAAGTAGAATGCAGTGTTGGGTGCTGGGCATCAAGAACATTCTGCACTGGCGTGCAGTTCCTAGGATAGTGTAACTGGGCTGTTTGAATTACTTCATGCACCCAGACTAGCACAGACCACTTCTGGAGTGTCCCTGTGTAGCCTTCTAGGAACGGTGGTCCAGAGTGCCCTGTAGTTGACTTGGGTCAGGGTTACCTGACCTGAATAGCTACCCCTTACTTCTGTGTGTGTGTATGCACATGTGTACACACACACATCTGGTGCAGGTGGAAGACTTGGCATCAGCAGTGGTGAAGGGCAGGGCTCTCCAGGTAAGCATGGTGTGACTTGTGTTGCTCTTCCAAATTGTAGATCTGAATCTCATTGACTGGAGCTCCCGAAACTTCCTGGCAGTGGCTCTGGACAACTCTGTTTATTTGTGGAATGATGTCTCTGGGGAGATTATCCAGCTGCTGCAGATAGAGCATCCAGATGTTTATGTTTCCTCTTTGTCGTGGATCAAAGAAGGAAACTACCTTGCTGTTGGCACAAGTAATGCTGAGGTCCAGGTGAGTGCAGCAGTAAAACCAAATGTGCTGTCTAAGGGTTGATGGAGCTGTGGGGCATGGGGACAAAGGCTTGGCTAGCACAGGAAGGATGCAATGCACCCAGCTTTTCTTGCCTGGTAGGGGTGGAACTGTCCACAGCCAACTGCAGCATGCAAGGCAGAGTTTGGTTTGGGGGTTTTCTGACACCTGGAGTTATCTTCTGTACTATAGGCATAAGATACAAATTTTCTCTGCTCCCATACTGAGAAGGCTGAATGCCAGGTTCCTAGGGCATAGCAACGGGGCTGGGGTTCATCCTCCAGAGAACTTACTGCTTTTCCTCTCTAGCTATGGGATGTTCAGCAGCAGAAGCGTCTCCGAAACATGACCAGCCATTGTGCCCGCGTGGG